ATAATAATAATAATAATAATAATAATAATAATAATAATAATAATAATAATAATAATAATAATAATAATAATAATAATCCAACTTATTCATAAACAAACGGGGCGTTACACTTCCTCTCTACAAACCCCCCCTCTCTTGTCATCTTGGTAAAGAATATCATTGAAATCCCCACAAACAAACCAAGAGCTACCCCTCATCAGCCTGTGCTTAATGAGGATTTCTTATTGAGTAGCTCTAACTACATTATCAGTACTAGCATAAATAAAAGCAACCCAAAAAACATTATCATAAACCCTAAATTTAAAACAAATCTTCAAACCAAAACTTATGTTATTAATCTCAATCAGAGATATATTCTCTGACCAAGTCAAAAAAAGACCCCCCCTTCCCCCTATTACCCACAGGATTAACATATAACCAACTATTTAACAATTTCAGCTTCTTACACAGAGAAACTACAAAATTTTATTTCTTTTTTTTTTTGTTTCAGATAAAAAAGGTAAAATCTGGGTGGTGGAGCCTTAAAGCTTCCTTGAATTGGGAAATTATAGAGGGCCCTTCCAAACCTCTACAATTCTACACAGAAACCTTCATTAGGAACTGTGGGACCAGTAAGGGCTGGTTTCATCCACCTCAGGTAAAATCATATCCCAGACAACTTACTTTTCTTGACTAAATGAAGTTCATGCTTTTCCAAAACATCAACCTCATTCAGACTCTCACAACATCTCTTATAAGGCCCCTTCTCTCCTAACTTAAGACTAGGACTCTCAGCCCTATCAACCTGCATACCCTCTGGAATAACTGGTTTGCTAAGTCTATGTTTTCTAGAGAAAATGGTCTTTTTCCTATGACTGGTCCTAACTTCTATAGGGGACGGTTGAACAGCCACTTCAACAAGTCTATCATCAGTTAGGAGGGGAACGCTAGTAACAATGGGAGCATCCAACGGATCATTAGTATCAGGGCCCTCCTCATCCTTATGAGTATTAACCCCTAAATTCAAGGGAGCTTCTATTTTATTGCTTCCCTTGCCTCCCACCTGCTGAACATCTAAGACACACTATTCCTAATACCTTCTCCTACTTCACTCCTGGCCACAATCTGTTCAGACCTACCTAGTTTATCAGAATCACTAGCTGGACTTCCCTTATTCAGGGAGCTAGGACTCCTAGGAAGCCCTGAAGAACTAGCACTAACCCTCAACCACTCACCATACTGACCTAAACTCAACTCATTATTCTTACGATCATCTGTTTTGATCCCACAATTATCATCAGAGTGGACAATCTTACCACAATAAACAAAAAGTTTGCAAATTCTTATATCTGAAATCTACCCAAGTAGACTTAGATCCAACTTTAATAAGGGTCCTCTAGGAAGAGGTTCATTCACATTAACCTCAACCAAGACTTTCACTATTTGCCAAAGTTGATCATTTGTGCCAGGGAGCTGAAAGCCAAGAGTATTACCAATCCTCTTTCCTATCTTCAACCATGTGTCCAAAGAGATCCAATGCAGGGGAAGATTCAAAATGTGCACCCAAATTTTAATAACTTCCTCATCATAAGAGAAGTCATTAACTCCAGGACTCCATAATTTCATAAGGATGTACTGGCCATCAAAGGACCAAGTTTTTCCTTGCAAGATTCTATCCCGATCTTCCACACACTGAAACAAAAAATGAAACTTATTATTGCCTATGCTTCTTCTTGAAAACTCCTTTCTAGTAACCCAAATACTAGTCAGGGTGGTTTTTAACCTACTTGAATTGGCGTTCTTATCCCCAAAAATTTTACCTATTAAACTCAGTTGACATTCATTAATACTAGGAGCAATATCAACCATAGACAGCTCAACCTCACCCCCCTCATTATCTGACAATTTAAACTTAGCCAGTTTTGTAACAACAAATTTCGTGAATTGAATTTAAAAAAAAAAACGAAAAATATTATTCAAATGAATTTCTTGAATCAAAACAATATAGCGGGTTACAATCTCTATTATTCCTCTGATTCTTCTCACAAACAATATTTAAGTCTTGGAGCGAAAGCTTCAGCTTGATCTTCTCCTTGACTTGATTTGACTTGAATTAACGTAATCCGAGGGCTTGAAAGCTTTTTCTCGGATCAAACGCCAAAATATCCCAAGAACGCGAAGAACACGAATCCTTGGTCTTCGCCGCAAAGTAGATATCGAATATTCTTCACGCCGGTTTTGAATTTGCTAACGTTATTTAGAGGCTTCGCAGCTTGTTTCCGGATTGAACGCTAGTCTTGAGGTTGAACGCGCTTGAATCTTGCTTTAAATCTTCAAGAACGCCTTCGAATCTTCAAGAACACTTGAATCTCGTCGAGAGACCTTGATCTTGAACTTGAATATGAACGCAATTCGGAGGCTTGACAGCTTGTTTTCGGATTAAACGTCGGTTTTGAGCTTGAATGTGCTTGAATCTTCCTTCGAATCTTCAAGAACGGCTTTGAAACTCCAAGAATACTTAAAACTTGTAGAGAAAATTCTCTAGAGCTCTTGAACTTGAAAATATGAATTATGAGATGTGTTTTTGACATTAGGGAGAGCCCCTATTTATAGGTGTAGGAGAGAGCACCCTGCCAAATTTAAGAATCGTAGGACGCGATTTGATTGGTCCATGTTGATTCACATAAGATCTTCAAGATCCACTTAAATCTTCCAAGATATCCTAGAAGATATGATTTAGTGACCAAAGAGAATTAAAATATTAAAATATCAATTAATTAACTATTTAAATTTAGGAATTAAATATATAGAAATTCCTAAATTAAAAATAGAAAATATGATTTGATTTTTAATAAATTAATTTCCACGTGGCGCCATTTGATTGGACAAAAATTTTATGTCTCTACAAATGCCCCCTCGAGACTTGTTCACGGACGATACTTCTTGGAGTGAATAAGTCGCGATATCTTCTATCGGGCTTGGAAGACGTGATATGGACTTACAAGGTTCAAGAGAGCCCAAATTAACAAACTTGTCATGTGTATCAAATTGCCCAAAACTTTTATCTATTTAAATGCCCCACAAGGCCCAAAGTATTTGAATATCTCATATGTTCGGTCCAGTTCTTTGAAAGCCTTGTTGGGCCTTTTATCCCTTTAAAAGCTTTTATCCATGCTGTCATGGTAGCTTTCAAAAATAAATGTGGCCCATGTATACCAACACTACAAATTCGAAGCCTTTAGCCTACGAAATAATTTTCCATGCAGCAAAACTCCACCCACTGAAAGAATCTTTATGTTCCCACACAATTAATTCCAAACTTGATTTTGGAATATGTACTTCCCAACTAATATGCATACAAGACTCATGAAAAATATATGTTATACACAAACCTATATCACATGTTTCCATATAATGAGTCTGTATATATTTTATATCTAAATATACATAATTCTTTCCAATTCCAAAACGACATGCCCCCAGGCCAATTCCTCACGACATCGGTAAAGAAGATGAAACTTTCTAAACTCTGTATAATTCCATTCTATAAAAGGGAGACAAACTCTCAATTCTTCACCAAACCAGAAGCGAATTTAACACAGTAGGTTTCTCTCTTCTTTCTTTGTTCTCCTTTTTTTTTTTTTTTTTTCTTACTGACTGTTGCTAACGCTCGAGAAGCCATTGTTGGTGTTTGTTGGCTTTATGTGCAGAATTGTTTGGCTGGGCTAGATTAAGGAGTTCAAATATATCAATTTCTCATATTACAGCTTCCAAGGTGTTTGATAGATTGTGCAAGAGAGGTATTATTTTATTTTTTTCATTCTCTCCCCCCTTTCTCTATCTCCTTTTATTACGTCTATGCTTGAGTTGTCTTCCGGGATGCTCGGATTGCTGTTGGGGACATTCTTATTGTTGTTTGGGGTGAAACTTGGCTTTCCGGGAGCTGTCCGGACTCAAACAAGGCTCTCTTACCACTGTTCGGGCTAAAACGAGGCTATTCGAGAGCTGACCGGACTCAAA